GGGATATGTGGGGAGCCATAGCATGCCAATCACAAAGAATCGATCAACGGTTCCGACGACAGGACACCGCATGCGAACCTCTCTACTGTGAACCAGACTCACCCTTACCGACTACTACCGGCAGTGATGATGCCGAGATGCGAGAAACTCATGATGCGCAGCGCGGGGTTTTTAAGAATTGTGGGGCACGTGGAAATTGCGCGACCTGTAGGGCTTGGTGAACATGCGGGCCCATAGGGAGCGGGGGCTCCCGCCTGGGACTTTTTCGCAACTCATTCACGGACAGAGGGGGAGGAGGAGGACGCGGGGACGCGGATCGCAACGCGGTCGCCGTCGACTGCGGCGCCCTCGGCCCCCGCCCACAGGGGGGCGTGGCGGTGTTCAACCGAAGGCGCTCTCCTGGAGCCGCTCCAAACGGCCTCCGCGGGACGCTCTCGCGCTCGCGGCCGCCTTCTCGACACTCGGCTCGAATTCTCTCACGGCGGCCCGATCGCAACGCTGTAGCTGGTCACGATGGGCTGTCACGCTCGCCCCTTCTCGCACGCGCCTGATCTGGATGCGTCTCCTGCTCTGCGTGCTTTTCAAGACCATCTCCCAAAACTCTGGCCTGATTGGCCACGTGGGCCTGCCGCTCGAACCTTGTATGGTGAAGGGGCTGAATTTCCTACCGGGCGTGGTGATGTACTTCAGGCATCTGGTCTCGAGCTTTCTCTGGTCCTCCTCTGGGAAGGCCCCCCATACTCCGAGGGCGCCCCTCGCTTCCCATTGGGCTCCTGCGCTGTAGCTGTCGACGTTGGGTTCCCCTTTCCCCTCCGTCGTCACCTTCTCGCAAGCCCTGACCTCTGCGCAGTAGCTGGCGGTATCTGGCTCGATCTTCGCCTCCCAGTTTGCGCACCCAGGGCCCAGCCACTTGTCGGCGATGGCCCTTCGCGCGGCCCACATCGCCGAGCTGACTCTGCCACACGCACAAAGCGCAGCGTTGTAGCGGATGTCGTTGGGCTCTAGATTCGCCCCCCACTTCTCGCACACGTTTGCCTCCATCTTCGCCTCCGCATCCGAGCCACATTCCGTCTTCGCTGCTCCAACCGTGGCAACGAGGGGTGGGGATGGGATGACGCTACTGATAGTGGGTCCAGCTTTGCCTCGGCCTCTACTGCCCTGCTCGCAGTGTTGCACCTGATGGTGTCGGGTTTCAACTTCAACGGTCCTTTCTTGCACGCTCTGCTCGCTTTGCTGTAGCTGGCCATGAGGGGTTTGCTCTTCGCCTCCCACTTCTCACACGGGCTCTCTCCAGCGCAGCTGGTCACTATGGGCTCTGCGTTCGCCTTCGCATCCAGCTTCACGAATCTGCGGGGTCAACCACGGCAATGTAGCTGGCAACGTTTGGCTCCATATACGCCTCCGCGGCCGCGCCACACTCCGTTTTCTCGGATCCAGCCATGGCGACGAGGGGTGACGAAGGGAATGCGCTGGTGAAGTTTGCTCCAGCTTTGCTTCCGCCACTGTTGCCGTGATCGCAGTGTTGTAGTAGATTACGTCGGGTTCCAGCGTCGCTTCATACGTCTCTCACTTACTGTTCACAGAGCTGTAGTTGGGCATATCTAGCTCCAACTTCGCCATTCCCTCCTCGCACGCCTTGATCGCTTGGCTGTAGCTGGTCACGTCGGGCTCCACATTCGCCTCAACAGCCGCACCACAGTTCTTTCCCTCTGATCCAGAGAACGCTGGTGAGACTGGGCTCCAACTTTGTTTCCGCCTCAGATGCCCTTTCATCACGTTTGGCTCCGTCTTCGTCTCCGCATCCGAACCACATTCCGTTATCTTTGGTCCAGCCGTGGCGACGAGGGGTGGCGAGGGGAATGCGCAAGTGATATTGGGCTCCAACTTTGCCTCTGCCACTGTTGCCCTGATCTCAATGGTGTACCAGATCACGTTGGGTTCCAGCTTCGCTTCTGGCGCCTCTCGCTTGCACACCCTGACTGCAGCGCTGTAGCTCGTGACGTTGGTCTCCGTCTTCGCCGCCGAGTTCACGCACCCGCTGTTTTCAGGGCTAAGGGGACCGAGTCGGGCTCCATCTTCCCCTCCCACTTCTCGCAAACCGGTTCTTGCAGCCAGCCTTCGATGAAGCCGTAGTCGACGGGTGGGGCTGGCAAGAAATCCAGAGCGGCCTGGCGGAGGGTCGCCAGGCGTAGCCTCGGCCATGCGCGCCGCTGGCTTTTGCTCGCCGGAGGGCGCCACGCAACCGTCGGGGGTGCACACCACATTGAGCTTGGCCGGCGGCGTCGTTCCACCGCGACTTCTTCAGGTCGGGTGGCACGGGCGTTGGTCACCGCCAACTGGCCGCACGCAATCGAGGCTCCGCGAGTTGTGCCCCACGCGCCTCGGGCAGGCCCCCGTGCTGTGCTTGAGGGGAGGAGGAGGAGGAGGAGGAGGACGAGGAGGAGGAGGAGGAGGAGGAGCAGGAGGAGGAGGAGGAGGAGGAGGCGGAGGCGGAGGAAGAGGAGGAGGAGGAGGAGGAGGAGGAGGAGGAGGAGCTGGTGAGGAGACGGAGCTGGTAATCTGGGGAATACCTCCGAGACGCCTCGCCATCGCGCCCACCTGCGTGCTGGCCCGCGGGGGCGCAGCGTTCCCGTGCCGCACAGGCCCGCCGCCCACAAAACGCCCCGAAACGCCAGCCACCCCCCAAATGCTGCCAGCCAGAACTCATTGCATTACATTACATCACATCACATTATATTACATTACATTACATTACATTACATTACATTACATTACATTACATTACATTACACTACATCACATCACATCACATTACATTACATTACATTACATTACATTGCATTATATTATATTACATTACAGCACAGTACCTTACAATCCAATACATTACCTTTACATCACATTACAATACACTACACTATATTACAAAACATTACATTACATTACATTACATTACACCGCATCACAGCACATTACAATACATTACTTTACTTTACATTACATTACATTACACTACAATACATTACACTGCATTACAGTACAATCACATTGCATTACATTACATTACATGGCATTACCTTCTATTCCATCATACCACACTACACTGCACTACACTGCGCTACACTGCTTCACAACACAATACAATACGTTACATTACGTTACACCAAGTCACCTCACATTACATTACACCACATCACATCACATCACAACACATTACACACATTGCATACATACATGCATACGCGCATGAATGCTGACATACCTACATACATATATGCATGCATATATGCATACGTGCATACCGGTTGATCTACCTACACACATACGTTCATGCACGCATGCATACATACATACACATTCCTCTTCCTATATTTTTATAAGCCCGGGCGGGGGGAAAACCCGTCACCCCCCCCCCTAAAACCGGACCCCCGGGATCTGGAGCTTTGGGACCCTCCAGACGGCCTCAAAGCGGCCCCCTGGGCCTCGCAGGGCGTTTTGCCAAGCCTTCGCAGCATACCCAGGGCGATCAAGGGGGTCACCGGAGACGTCCCAGAGACCCCCAAGACAGCACAAAAGCGCTCCAAGAAGCCGTCATACCCCGAAAGATCGCTCCAAAACGTACCAAGAGGCCTCCAAGAGCACCCCCAAGAAGGCCCCAAGAGGGAAAAAGCATTGATTCTATTTAGGTTTTTGGTGCATTTGGGGTTCTCCTCTTTTCGGCTTCCCGACTCTCCAAGACGGCGGTCTCCTAGGCGTCCGAAGCCGCCTGGGAGGCTCCAAAATCGCCCCACAACCATCCGAAAGGGCTTCCAGGCAGTCCAAGAGAGCCCCAAAACGGCACAACAGGGGTCCAAATGGCCCAAAGAGAGCACCATGGCGGCCCAAGATGACCCCAAGACACCCTCCGAAGCATTCCAAATCGTGACTGGGGCGCTCAGGGAGACCGCGGTTAGAGGCAGGTTGGCCTTAGGCACCCAGGAGGCCTCAAGAGGGCTTTAAGAAAGCCTGAGAAGTTTGGTGAGGCCCCCAGAGGCTCTCCAAGGAGGAGCCTCCGCAAAAAGAGCTGAGAAAGATGGGGATAATGCCCAGGGTATGGCGATAATGAAGAAAAATAAGCATGGAGGAAGGATAACGAACAACATTATCAGAACGGCGATGCCAGAAAAGGCAGCAAGGAGTTATCGCTAAATTGTCGACTTGACCTTCCTGCCATTTCCGCCTGCATACCAAACTTCAAGGACCAAGGTGCATGGCGCGAAGCGCCACTGCAGACTTGTGTATATATTTACAAACATACATACATACATACATACATACATACATACATACAGACATACATACATACATACATACATACATACATGCATGCATACATACATACATACATACATACATACATGCCTGCCTGCCTGCCTGCATGCATGCATGCATGCACGCGTACATGCATACATGCATACGCACAGACACACACACACACGCATACGTGCATACCTACATACGGTGATGCATACATACATACATACATACATACATACATACATACATGCATACATACATACATACATACATATATACATACATACGTTAGTGCACGCATACATACAGACATACCTACCGAAACATACATGCATGCATACATGCATGCAGGTATACATTCATACATACATACATGCATACATGCATGCATGCATACGTGCATGTGTAGTTGCATGCATACATGCATACATACAGCCATACGACCGTCCGGTATAAATACATACATACAAACACGAATTCATACAGGCATACATGTCTGTCTACCGACCTACCGGTACACCTACTTAAATACCTACATACATACACAAAACATACATAGATACATACGTAGGTTCATGCATGTACGCATGCATGCACACATACATATGCACACACGTAAATGTATATAGACATTCATTCATTCATTCATACATACATACATGCATACATACATACGGGCGGGCGAGCGGCGGTAAGCGCGAAGCGTCTCGAATAATACTTTGATAGGCTGAGGTCGCACCCGGAGAAGTACTCTCGGAAACCGCGTTGGAGAGCCTGGCCGAGGTCATGAGTGTAAACGGTTGCGATCTGGCGAGTGTCTTTGGATTTCATGAGAGTGTCAATTGTAATCTGCACCCCGATGGCAAGAATCACCTGGCCAATCTCCACATAGTTTGATTTGATCTGGCCGTCGGCGTCGCCACCCTGAATACAAGTAGTGAAGAAGAATGTGCAACCGAACGCCGCAGCGCACAAGCCTACATAGTCCCATTGATATGATGTGAAATACATATACTCGAACGTAATAAGATCCGCCACCGTGCCTCTGGCACGAAGTGGAGCGCCCCAAGGCGCATGCAGCACTGAGAGGTAGACGCCGTGCTGCTTCTGCAGCGAGAGCTGTAAGTCTTTAAAAAGGCCGACCAATCGTGTTCCAGGCCTTCCCGGGGTGCCCCCCACGGGCTCCCATGAGTTCTGGGATGTGCCCTGCGCCTCCTGTGGACGATGTGCCCCCCCAAAGCGACCTCCTGGACCCTCCCACGAGTCCAAGAGGGCTCCGAGTCGCCGAACGATCGCTCCAAAACGCCCAAGATGGCCTCAAGATGGCCCAAGAGGCCTCCAAGACGCCACAAGGAGCCTCAAAAAAGCCTCCCAAGAGGGCCCCAACAGGCACAGTCAGTGGTGTCCCTTTTGGTTTTTGCAGGATTTGGGCGTTCTCGCCTTTTCGGCTTTCCGACGCTCGAAGACGGCCCAAGAGGCCCCCAAGACGACCCCAAGACGGCCCAAGAGGCCTCCCAGAGGGCTCAAAGACGGCCTAGCAGCACCCCAAGACGGCCCAACCGACAGTCCCAGACTTCCGCCCCAAGAGGCCCCCGGAAGGCCCCAAGAGGCGCCCGAGAGGCCCAGGTAGGCCCCAAGAGGCCCCCGACAGGCCCCAAGAGACCCCCTAGAGGCCCAATTGAGACCCAAAGGAGGCCTCAAACTGGCCCCCAAGAGGCCTCAAGAATGACCCGCGAGATCCCAACGAACACCCAATAGGCGCTCATACCCATAACCCAGGCACGGTGGCGGGATGGACCGCAGGCCATTAGATCCGCCGCCCCCTGTGCTTGTCACAAGGGTGCCTGGCGTACTGGACCCTTTCGGTTCTGGCTCTTTTTCCAAAAAAAAAAAAAAACTGTCCTGGGGCTCGGTCCAGCCCGCTGGCCACCCGAAAGGGTGCATAAGACCCGGTTGCACAGGTTTTCCTGATCCAAACGGCTCCAAGATGGCCCAAGACGGCCTCCAAGACGGCTACGATGGCCCTCAAGGTTTTGCTCAAGGTGGTCCAAGGTAACCTCCAAGACTGCCAAAGAGAGTCCAAGATGCCTCCAAGTTCAGCCACGGAGCCTCCAACACGGTCGAAGACGGCCCCAGAGGCCCCCCGAGAGGCCTCCAAGACGGCCCAAGAGGCGTCCAGGAGGTTCTTCTTCAGGAGGGCCCGACGAGGCTAAAATCATTAAACGATATGGGCGCGCGCGGCGGACTTTTTTCGTCCGCGGGATTTCGTCCCGAGTAAGCTTTTGAAGGATTTGGGCATTTGCTCGTTTTCGGCCTTCCGACTGCCCAAGACGGCCCAAGAGGCCCCAAAGATCGCCCACGGAGCGCCCAAGAGGCCTCCAGGATGGCCCCAGGACGACCCAAGAGGCCCCCAAGACGGCCCCAAGAGGGCCCCAAGCCGGCCCAGAAGGCCTCCAAGGCGCCCGAGATGGCCTCCAAGATGGCCCTGGAGCACCCGGAGAGGGCCCCAGGTCGGTCCACAGAGGCCCCCAAGACAGGGTCCGACGGCGTCGGACGGGCCAGGAGGCCCGAAGAGACTAGAATCATTGATGTTCCTTGGGATTTTGAATGATTGTTTGAAGGGGCCCCAGGACACACAAATAAATACACACAAATAAAATTATCCCGGCAAAGCAACCTAACAGCGATGTGTAGGAGCATATCTGGAAGCATTCCCCGTAAGATTCGGATGAGAACCCAGTTGTAGAATTCTGCTGTTCTCGCAGTCGTAGTCGCATTCGCGATGACAGTCGCAGCGGCAACGGCAGTCGCAGTCACAGCCTCAGCCTCAGCCTGCCTCAGCCTCAGCCTCAGCCTGCCTCAGCCTCAGCCTGCCTCAGCCTCAGCCTCAGCCTGCTTCAGCCTCAGCCTCAGTCTGCCTTCAGCCTCGGCCTCAGCCTCAGCCTGCCTCAGCCTCAGCCTGCATCAGCCTCAGCCTCAGCCTCAGCCTGCCTCAGCATCAGCCTGCCTCAGCCTCAGCCTCAGCCTGCCTCTGCCTCAGCCTCAGCCTGCTTCAGCCTCAGCCTCAGTCTGCCTTCGGCCTCGGCCTCAGCCTCAGCCTGCCTCAGCCTCAGCCTGCATCAGCCTCAGCCTCAGCCTCAGCCTGCCTCAGCATCAGCCTGCCTCAGCCTCAGCCTCAGCCTCAGCCTCAGCCTCAGCCTGCTTCAGCCTCAGCCTCATCTGCCTTCAGCCCTCGCCTCAGCCTCAGCCTCAGCCTCAGCCTGCTCAGCCTCAGCCTCAGCCTCAGCCTGCTTCAAGCCTCAGCCTCAGTCTGCTTCAGCACTCCGCCCAGCCTCAGCCTGCCGCAGGCAGCCTCATTCCCTGCATCACCCTCAGCCTTAGCCTCCCCTGCCTCAGCCTCAGCCTGCATCCCCTGCCTCAGCCTCAGCCTCAGCCTCAGCCTCAGCCTGCTTCAGCCTCAGCCTCAGTCTGCCTTCAGCCTCGGCCTCATCCTCAGCGTGCCTCAGCCTCAGCCTGCATCAGCCTCAGCCTCAGCCTCAGCCTGCCTCAGCATCAGCCTGCCTCAGCCTCAGCCTCAGCCTCAGCCACAGCCTGCCTCAGCCTCAGCCTCAGCCTGCTTCAGCCTCAGCCTCAGTCTGCCTCTTGTCCAGCGCTCAGCTGCATCAGCCTCAGGCCAGCCTCAAGTCTGCCTTCAGCCTCGGCTCAGCCTCAGCCTGCTTCAGCCTATCCTGCTCATTCACAGCCTCAGCCTGCCTCAGCATTCAAAATGTGGCCCGGGAATATGTTGAATCGGGGGAATCGGATGAACAACGAAAGGTGGCCGTACAAGGGCTGAGTGGACGTGCCGTGTTGTGGGCATTCAAAAAATCATGGCCCGGAATGGAATTCTGGGAACGGGGGGGGGGGGGTAGCGGAAGACCAAGAAGTGGCATCAATTTGGCTCGTGGCTATTCAAAATGTGGCCCGGGCATGGAGTTCTGGGAACTCGAAGAGCACGAAGTGGCCTACAGTTGGCTCCGGGCATTCAAAATCATGCCCTGGAATGGAATTCTGGAAACTCGGAAACCACGAAGTGGCCTACAGTTGGCTCCGGGCATCCAAAATGTGGCCCGGGAATGGAATTCTGGGAATCGAAGAGCACGAAGTGGTACTGTTGCTCCGGCCCTCCAAATGTGGCCCGGGAATGGAGTTCTGGGAACTCGAAGAGCACGAAGTGTGGACTGTTGCATTCGGCCCTCCAGAATGTGGCCTGGGAATGGAGTTCTGGGAAATCGAAGAGCACGAAGTGTGTGACTGTTGGCGAAAAACGAGCCCGGCACCTGCCGCCCGGCAACTCCCAACACCTGCCCGGACCCCCCTGTGGAGTGATCTGTGAGCTCTTCTGAGTCAACTAGAAACCTATCAGTCTTCGCTGTTAGGTAAAGATTCCCCATATTTTCCTATCTTTTCTGGGTTTTTGTCTCCCCCCCCACCTACCTCCCATATTTTCCCATATTTTCCTGGGAGTCGACGATTCATTGTGTCTGTGTGTTTTTTTCCCGCCTGATTGTTGCACTTGCTTCTTTTCGGCCTTCCGACGGCCCGAGACGACCCAAGAGCCCCCAAAGATCGCCCCCCCAAGATCGCCCAACAGGCCTCCAAGATGGCCCCAGAAAGGCCCAAGAGGCCCCCAAGACGGCCCCAAGAGGGCCCAAAGCCGGCCCCAGAGGCCTCTGAGACGCTCAAGGAAGCATCTAAGACGGCCCTGGAGCATTCCATGAGGGCCCCAAAACGGCTTCCGGCGGCGTCAGACGGGCCAGGAGCCCACCAAGACGGCCCAAGATGGCCCTAAGATGGCCCAAGACGGCCCAAGAGGCCTCCAAGAGGGCCTCCAGGAAGGTCCGAAGAGGCCAAAATCATTGACTCCCCTTATGTGTTGAAAGATGTTGGCATTTGCTTCTTTTCGACCTACAGGCGGCCGGAGACGGCCCAAGAGGCGATCGCCCACAGAGCGCCCAAGAGGCCTCCAGGATGGCCCCAGGACGACCCAAGAGGCCCCCAAGACGGCCCCAAAAGGGCCCCAAGCCGGCCCAAGAGACCTCCAAGACGCCCAAGATGGCCTCCAAGAAGCCCTGGAGCGCCCCAAGAGGGCCCCAAGTCGGCCCAGAGATGCCCCCAAGACTGCTTCCGACGGCGTCAGACGGGCCAGGAGCCCACCAAAACAGCCAAAGAGGCCCCCGAGAAGCCCCCAAAGGCCCCCAAAAGGCCCAAGGAGGCCCCCAAGATGCATACAAGAGGCTCCCAGGAAACTCTTTGGAGGCACCAAGAGTGTCCCCAGAGGCTCCCAAGATGCCCCGTCCTCCTCCTCATCCTCCTCCTCCTTCTCCTCCTCCTCCTCCTCCTCCTCCTCCACCTCCTCCGCCTCCTCCTGATCGTCCCCGCCATCCTCCCCAAAGTGTTCCCCGAAGGGTTCCCACAACGATTGGGGGAACAAATGGTCCGATAGCTTGGCGGAACTCTTGCCACAACGCTCGGCCACATGGGCGATTCTAGAAAGCAGGGGGCGGCGGTGATTCGCCGTAGGCGTCTTCGATAAAGACAAATTGCCAGCACGTGCGCCAATATCTGCAATGTTGAATTACACTCGAGCCGGTTGACCAATCCCATAATCAAGATGGGGAGCACCTTGCCGAGTGCCACGCCAATTAGTCGCTTGGTGTTCCTTTCGAAAGTCGTACCAGCATAGCGGCTTATCAGTAGCGCCAGTGTGGTTGCCATGGTGGCGTTGTAGCCAGTCTGGAACACTGAGCCACGTAGATAGAATCCCATTACGAAGCAGAGTGTGACTGACATCGTGTTTCTGATCGCGAAATTCCTGTGCTCCGCATCGGCTTCACCCGAAGACTCGTGCAACCACCCAAACATGTTTCTGACTACGCTGCCGCGCTTGCGGGAGCCATCCTTTTCCAGGTGACCCTCCGCGAAGGCGCTCACCCGCCAGGCGAAGACCGAAAGGGAGTAGACGAAGATGGTGCAGTTACAGAAGGGTTCGTCAGACAAGGGGTTGGAGGAGTTCAGCTCTTGCCCATATGCTGCAGACAGCTTGTGATCGTACTCAAGCAGCATCAGCATCTGGCAGTGCTTGATCTCCCCCACACACTGGACTATCTGTTTGAGCTCGTTCTCGTCCACCTTTAGGCGGCGAGCGAGGGGGGGGACAGGAGAAGGAGAAGGCCTGCTCAGGAGGCGGCGTGACTTCTTAGAAACCCTCGCGCCTTCTGAAGGGTTGGTTGTGTCTTCGGGGAAGGCGTAGAAAGTTTCTCAGAAGGCTTGGGGACTTCCGATCCTTCTGAGAAGGCCCGCCCCTTCTCACTTCACCCCTCGCTCGCCGCCGAACCTTTCCGTCCCTACAGGATTCGGCGCAATGGTACAGGAGACGCATCGTTGCAAGCTTGAGGTTCTCAGCAGCCCTGCGCATGCTCTTGTCCATGAAGGCCTCGTGAGTTTTTCCGAACCCAGCCTCGAGAATGCAGGCCTTCATTGCGTAGAGCACTTGATGTAGCTGGTCGAGCTCGGCGTCAAGCTCTGCGTACAACGCACGTTTGTGCTTGAACCCACAAAGGTCTAGCGTCTCCCACCAGGACGCCTCCAAATCTCCACTGACTGTACTGATGTTGTTCGTCAGATTTGCGATCTTCGATGCAATCTGCAAGCGCTTTGCAGCATGCCTCCCGCCGCAGAAGTACGAGATTGCGTCTTCCCAAATGTTGTCCAGAGAACTGACCACCGTCTTTGTATCTTCATCAACCCTAGTGATATTGAGCATGGGCCAGGGGAACAAAGTGGCCAGCACTGCCAGGAGCGACCCGGTGTAGGTGGTGAAGAGCACGGCGGTGGGCTCAGAATCCCACTGCACGCCTGGAATACCAGTGTGCAGCTCGCCGATGTGCGGCCCCGTGTTTGGGTTCATGTAGCCCATCATGAAGAAGAGGTGCCACGACAATCCGAACTTGATGGCATTCGTGCTCATCTTGGAGATGAGGAAAAGGAATGTCAGGCCCAAGCAGTCCAGCCAAGCAACCCACGGAATATAACCTGCATCCATAGCTCCTCGCGGCCACACACCCATGAGAATGTAGATGTTCACAACGGCAAGCCATGTGCCACCAACACCCTGCCAAGCGAACATGATAGTATTTCCGGAGGTCTTATCCGCCTCCGTGCCTGCACGGAGTGGGCGTTTCAGAATGGTTCTCGGTTGCCCTGAAGCTTTCTAGGGCCGACCATCCCTGATAGCACGCGTTAAAAGAAAATCTGCGTTTTCTGGATTTGCTCTCCAGAGCCAATGTCGGCCTTCAGGCGCCAGGATTGCCTCCAAAATGTCCTCCAAGACAGCCAAGAGAACACCAAGATGGCTCAAGATGGCTCAAATTAGCTCAGGAAGCTTCCAAGACGGCCTCAAGACGGCTCGAGAGGCTTCGCAGACGGCCGAAGAGGGTTCCGAGAGGCCCTCCAGGAGAGCTCGAGGAAGCCAAAACGACTGATTCCCCTCAGGCTTGTCAATGATTTTGAGGGTCTCGCTTGGTAGGGCTTGCGACCGTCCAAGATGACCCAAGAGGCCTCCAAAATAGCCCCCAGACAGCCCAAGAGGCCACCAAGAGGGCCGCAAGTCGGCCAGAGAGCCTCTCAACAAGACCCCAAGACGGCCCTCAAGCGCTCCAAGAGAGCACCAAGACGGTCCAAAGAGGCCCCCAAGACGGCCTCCTAAGACGTTAGACGGGCCAAGAACCCCCTAAGATGCCCCAAGGGGCCCCCCACGAGGCCCCAAGGGCATCCGAGAAGGCGAAAAACATTAATAAGTGTTTGAAGGATTTGCAGGTTCTCACCTCTTTTGAGTTTCCGACCGGCTGAGGCTGCCCAGAAGGCCTCCAAGATAGCTCCAAGACAGCCCATGAGGCTCTCAAAGAGCTCCAAGTCGGCCCGAATGGACCCCAACATTGCCCAAGAGCCTCCCAAGACTGCTCCAAGACGACCCTCAAGCGCTTCAAGAAGCCACCAAGACGGCTCAGTGAGGCCCCCAAGACGAGGCGAGGTCGAGTTCACAACCCATCCCAGCTGAGAGCAGTCGTCGAGATTGCGCTGTTCCTACAATGTCTCCCTCCTGCTGCATTAATGCACAAGCTCGGCGGCGGGGACTGCCGCAGGCAGCCGGATACACGGTATAAATGATCATCTGGATAACGTTTGGCCAATACGAAGCATACATCCCTGGTAAATAACCGCACCAAACATCCTTCTCCGGGCGCCACGGCGTGGACGCGGAGCCTTCATGCGGGACGATGCCCGTGCCGTTCGGACCCACCACCCAGCGCCCCAGTTGCGACGGCGAGCATAGCTGCGACCCGTAGAATAGCTCGTAGTTCGCCTGGGAATAGATGGGGAACCCGAACAGCGCGCACCAAAAGGCCACGCGCACTGACATCGCGAGGTTGCGCCAGAACGTCCTGGGGCGGGTGAGCCACGAGATATCCCTGGTGGTCCCTGCGAACACCTAGGCCTCCGCATCGTTCTCCTTATCTCATCTCGTCCTCCTCCTCCTCCTCCTCCTCCTCCTCCTCCTCCTCCTCCTCCTCATCCTCATCCTCATCCTCATCCTCATCCTCATCCTCCTCCTCTTATTATTCGTAGTATTAGTATGATTCCTCCTCCTCCTCCTCCGCATTATCCTCTTCCTCCTCCTCATTCTCATCCTCCTGTTTCTATCTTAAATATCCTCCTCATCGTTTGGGTCCTCTAGGTTTTTGGCGCGCCACGTCCGTTGATGCAACACCTTGCAAACAAGGAATAAAACGTACGCACGGCACGCACAAGAGGGATCACTCCGGCTGGAACGGGAAAGACCTGCCGAACTCCACTCCCGAAGAAAAGTCTGCCCCGTTTTACAGGAGACTCAGGGAATGGCTGGCAGCTTGGTTTCTGGGCCCGCAATTGCAAGTTTGGCAAGCAGGACCACCTTCTTAGTGCCGAGTATCCCACATACACTGCACCACACTCGGCCTCCTGCACCATTCCAAGGCAACGATATCGCCTGCCCACCAATCACGAATTCCACCACGCACGCAAGCAGATCTCTTACCCCCTCGCAAAATCGCATGCCCATTGGGCCCAGACGCGAACTCCAAAACCTCGGTAGCTGTGAGCCGCTTGGCTCGGAAGTGGTCGGCGTCCCCGGAATTCAGCCTGGATCAAGCACCCGCGCGCCCCGCGACCAGGACGGCACGGCCTCGAACAAAGAATCCCTGAGCCTTCATTTCCTGCACAAGAGTCGGAGGGACAGGATGCATTTTAGCTCCTGGCTTGGTCAAACGATCGGCCTCTCGGTTGCCTCGCCAGGCCCATCATGCACAGCCCTCGGGCGCAGCTTTGGCCCAGGACTGGCGGCCCCGAATTCTCTCCAACGCGGAGAGCGGCAATAGCATCAAACGTGCGGAAATATCGCGCCACTGTTCGACATGCGCAACCTTATCCTTCGACTGCTGTGGGCCAGCCTGCCAGATACCAACTACCATCTTACAACCGCAAACAATATGGACGGGCGCGACTCCTACATACTTGATGAGCATACGTAGAGCATACACACCCCGACTGCTGGACTGGGCGAGGCAAGGGCCCAGCCGCCATGGCGGTCGACTTGGACAACACACCAACCAGCACCTTCCATCACGAAATCTCTCCCAGCCTCAGCCTCAAGCCTCAGCAAGCCTCAACAGCAGCCTCAGCCTCAGCCTCTGAAGCCTCAGCCTCAGCCTCAGCCTCTGCTCAGCCTCAGCCTCTCTGCATCAGCCTCGTCAGTCGCCTCAGCCTTCAGCGAGCCTGCAGCCTCCTCAGCAGGCATCAGGCCTCAGCCTCTGCCTCAGTCAGCCTCAGCCTCAGCCTCAGCCTCAGCCTCAGCCTCAGCCTCAGCCTCAGCCTCAGCCTCAGCCTCAGCCTCAGCCTCAGCCTCAGCCTGCCTTCAGCCTCAGCCTCAGCCTCTGCCTTCAGCCTCAGCCTCAGCCTCAGCCTCAGCCTCAGCCTCAGCCTCAGCCTGCCTCATCAGCCTCAGCCTCAGCCTCAGCCTCAGCCTCAGCATCAGCCTGCCTCAGCCTCAGCCTCAGCCTGCCTCAGCCTCAGCCACAGCCTGCTTCAGCCTCAGCCTCAGTCTGCCTTCAGCCTCGGCCTCAGCCTCAGCCTGCCTCAGCCTCAGCCTGCCTCAGCCTCAGCATCAGCCTGCCTCAGCATTCAAAATGTGGCCCGGGAATGGAGTTCTGGGAACTCGAAGAACACGAAGTGGCCTACAGTTGGCTCCGGGCATTCAAAATCATGCCCAGGGAGTTCTGGGAACTCGAAGACCACGAAATGGCCTACAGTTGGCTCCGGGCATTCAAAATGTGGCCCGGGAATGGAGTTCTGGGAACTCGAAGAGCACGAAGTGGCCTACAGTTGGCTCCGGGCATTCAAAATGTGGCCCGGGAATGGAGTTCTGGGAACTCGAAGAGCACGAAGTGGCCTACAGTTGGCTCCGGGCATTCAAAATGTGGCCCGGGAGTGGAGTTCTGGGACCTCGAAGATCACGAAGTGTGTAACTGTTGGCTAAAAAAAATCCCCGGCATCCTCCCCCGGATCGCGCAGACCCCCCTGGGGCGTCATGATGTTCTCTTTTGACCATACTAGAAACCTATCAGTCTTCGCTGTTAGGTTTGGAGAAAAAAAAAATGACGCCCGGGCCCCACATGTGTGGTCGAGGCGCTGGCCCCCGGACCCGGTCACCCGTTACATGTAGATGTATATAGACACATCTAGATATATAATTAAAAACAGCCCGAGTAGTTTTGCGTTATTTCTATGGCTTTCCCGCCAACACACCCGAAGAAGACGAACAAATACAATCGACTAAACACAGAAAAACTCCCGACAAAAAAAACGAATAGGGGGCTCTGGGGGGGGTCGGGGGATTGCAACTGTAACACCTTGCTAAACAATATCCCGTGTTGTGAACACCTCGCACAACATGCCCAACAATAGAAAGACAGAACACGCAATCGCACTGCAAATCATCACATTCAAGCATCTTCATCATAACCAACAAAGCAAAAAAACGCACGAAACATATCCACAAACAAAAAACAATATGCTCAACTGATGTTTCTTAAATTTCCGAAAATCCCAATTATGTTGACAACATAACATGTTTGTTGGGGGGCGATTGGGAGATCAAAATATGAGCCAAAACTAATCGGGGTTGATCACGTCCCCATACTTCACGTCCCTGATCAAGGCAATTCGTCTGGATACCGTTTCTGGATGGGCTGGTGGGGACACGGGAGCGTCAAGAAATTTAATTTGGTTGGGTTCTCTTGGGGATCTCTCGGAGCTCCATTGGAGCTTTTCTTTAATATTCGCGATGGCGTCCGCTACTGGCCCACCTCCTCCCCCCCCCCTGGTAACGTCACGATTCGCGACGGCGCCGTCTGTGAATTAACCATACCTAAGCATTCGCTGACGGCGCCAGCACGAATCGCGACGCTATACCGGCCTCCACCCCACCTCCGGTCACGCCCGTTCTCGCCAGGGGAGAAACATCTCCTGCCTCATCCGAAACTCTCTTGAAATCACCTGCGCAAAAACCTCGACACTCTTCTGCAATGCCGGAGAAAGAATCCCGAACAAGAGTTGAACAGATCCGAAAACCAAAACAACAACAGAAACCAGCACAAAGACTTGGAGGGTCTTTTCCCTGACCAAACACACAAACCATAACCAAAGCCAGGACAAGAACTGGACTTTAACCTGGGGGTCTCTGTCGAGGCAGGAAAATGACGGCCACCGGAACCCGAGCCAGAACCAAAACTGGAACCGTGACCAGGGAAGTCTTCTTCCAAACCGAGGGATCGAACAAGAGAACCAGAACGAGAACAGGAACCAAAACAGGAATCGTGACTGAAGAAATCTTCTTTCAGGCCTGGGGAAAAGAGAACCACACCGAAAACCGTAAGCAGAACCGGACGGGGGGCCTATGGCCCGAAACTGCAACCAAGCTACAAGAATAAAGAAATCGTGACCAAAACCAGCGCATATAACCATGACAGGGGAGGTCTTATTCGAAGACGGAAGACGACAAAAACTGGAACCAAACCTGGAACCGAAACCGTAAGTAACCGTGACCTTGGAGGGTTGAGTCGAGCAATTCGGGAAAAGATATTTCAGCGGGCGTGGACCCCAGAGCACGACTTCAGATTCATTCACGATGGAAATGGAAACTGTGCGGTGTAAGCTATGCGGTGCCAGCTATGTCGTGGAAATTAGGTGGTGCGAGCTGTATGTGGAAGTTGTGGGGCGTGAGCTACGTGATGTCAGCTATGTTGTGTAATCCATATGTGCTGTGTAAAGGGATGTCATGCGAGCCCAGAGCATGGGGCTCCCACGAGGCGACACGCGCGGCAACATGGTACAACCTCGGGAAACCCACCCCACGCACGGAGCGCGGCACGGGCGGCAGCGTGGCGCAACTTTGGCACACACCCCACCGCACGGGGCGCCCACGAGCGACGTTGCGCACTGGAGCGGTTGTGTATCACGGCGCCTGTGTACACCACAGGGCTTGTGATGTGTACACTTTAATCATTAAAGTGTACACATCACCCACTATGCCTGTCTACAAGTCTACAAGTGTGTGATGTATACACATTAAAGTGTACACATCACACACTTGTACGCAAGCATTAAAGTTTAATGCTTGCGTACACCCACTATGCCTGTCTACACCACAACTGCTGCTGCAACGACAGTCGTGTGCGCCACATCGCTGGTGTACACCGCAATGCCTGCGCACACCACAATGCACGCCCGAGTGCACCGCGGCACAAGCAGTGCCCGCGTGCACTACAAGCCCTAGGCTGCCCGGGATCGCGCACTGGACCGAGCCGGGGCGTTATCGATACGGGGTGGGGCAGGGAGGGGTCAACAAGTGTTACCCCTTGGGTGGACAAGAAAATGGTCTCTGGGGCCACACCAGTAGCTGAAGATAAGCATTCATCCGCGGCACCCGCCGCAAAACAACGACAGGACTACGACCACGATACGACTACGGCTACGACTACGACTACGAGTGGTTGGCGACCACGACTACTATTACGACGACTACGACTACGAGTACGACTACGGGATGAGTATGAGGAGAAGAACGAGGAGGAGCAAGAGAAGAACGAGAAGGAGGAGGAGGAGCAGGAGGAGGAGGATGAGGAGGACAAGGAAGAGGAGGAGGGGGGAGGAGGCTAAAGAGGAATCTGAGGAGCAAGAGGAGGAGGAGAAGGAGGGGCGGAGTGTATTTCCCGCCGAGAAAAACAGGGATGGGGGAGCAAAACTAGAGAACTCCCTCGGTTAAGTTCAAGCGCCAAAAAATACGTGCCCGCCCCCTTCATGTACAGTGGAAGCCAGTCCACAAGAAACCTTCCACAAGAAACCCAACCCTGAGACCCTGGGGCATCCATTGATTTTTGGTGTGGGAGCGTCACGATCCCCATCGAAAAGACATCGAACTCCAAGAAACCCAGGGCATCCTGGAGGCAAGCAGGGCGCTTCTTGGCATGAGGAGGAGGAGAAGGAGGAGAGGAGGAGGACGAAGAGGAGGAGGAGGAGGAGGAGGAGGAGGAAAGAGGAGGGGGGAAAGAAAGGTGTTTCTTGGCATGGGTCTCCACTGGATTATTTTTGCTTTTGTCTGTTGCTGTTGCTATTCCTGTTCCCCCGGGCGGGGGGGGGGGGCTGGCGGGGTCCGTACGGCGGGGGCCGTGCGGGCCAAGGAGGGGGAGGCCTGATGGTGGGTTCTCGTGTTGTGCTCCTCCTCCCTCCTCCTCCTCTCCTCCTCCCTCCTCCTCCCTCCTCCTCCTCCTCCTCCTCCTCCTCCTCCCCTCTTCCTCCTCCTCCTCCTCTCCTCCTCCCTCCTCCTCCTCCTCCTCCTCCTCCTCCTCCTCCATCCCCCTCCTCCTCCTCCTCCTCCATCCTCCTTCTCCTCCTCCTCCTCTCCTCCCTCCTCCCCTCCTCCCCTCCTCCTCCTCCTCCTCCCTCCTCCTCCTCCTCCTCCTCCTCCTCCTCCTCCTCCCCTCCTCCTCCTCCTCCTCCTCCTCCTCCTCCTCCTCCTCCTCCTCCTCCTCCTCCTCCTCCTCCTCCTCCTCCTCCTCCTCCTCCTCCTCCTCCCCTCCTCCTCCTCCTCTCCTCCTCCTCCTCCTCCTCCTCCTCCTCCTCCTCCTCCTCCCCTCCTCCTCCTCCTCCTCCTCCTCCTCCTCCTCCTCCTCCTCCTCCTCCTCCTCCTCCTCCTCCTCCTCCTCCTCCTCCTCCTCCTCCTCCTCCTCCTCCTCCTCCATGTCCCGAAACGTTTGGCGCATTCGGGACAGTTTTGCCAAGGCTCGCTGGGCATCCGAGCACACATGTTCTGGTGACCAGACGCGCCATCGGCACAACCCGCAGATGCAAAATGCATCGGTGTCCCCTGGGTCAGAAGGACGTCTGGAAATCGTTACCGCACCAGCGAAGCGGAGGGGGAGACGGAAGAGTGGGAGGAGAGCGGAGCAGGAGGAGCAGGAGGAGCAGGGAACGTGCCCAAGGGGGATTGGGCCGAGCAGAGAGCACTTGCCCAGCCGCCGACCGCCGCCCCGACGCAAGCGCAGCCGGGCCACTCGGCGCTGGGCTGTGCGCAGCAATCGCTGCTGTCCGGGAGGGAACATACCAGGAACTGCTTTGCCCAGGCCAGGCCGAACGCCCCATTCGGGGTTGTCAGAACCAGAACCAGAAGGAGGGAGCAGGCCCAGCGGGAGAGTAGGAGGGAGGAGCCTGGTCTCAGGGCGCGAAGTTGCAGACCTTGAACCCATGTGCTCCCTCAATCTCGTCAGAAGTCCACACGATCGTGCTGCCTGTGTCCACATGGACGCCACTGATGACCTCTGGATGACCTCCAGCAATGATGGCGCCCCAGCCAGATGGATCTGACGGCCCAGAAAAAGTCTGGCCGTCGATGGTCAGTATGTCAAACCCCTTCTCAGTGTTGAACCAATGCGAGTGCAGGGCCGCGGCGCTAGTGACGGCGACGGTGCAGCCCTCGAGGTCGCCGTAGTGCTCCCTCGTGAGGCACCTGCCCCCCTCCGAAGCGGCGCAGGGGCCGGCCGTCACACGGAACCACTCAGACGCGAAGCAGGAGCGGTCGCATACCCCCATGGCCTTCGCCTCGAGGTCGTCCCCCACCTCGGTGGCGCACAAGGGCTCGCTCGAGAGCGCCTCGTCCCGCTTCTGCCCTGGCAGCGCCAGCTCGGTGGTGCACGCCTCGAACCGCTTGCCCGAGAAGAAGAATGGAAACACGCACCCGCCCTGCGGCCCACGGTCCGACCCCTCGTGGGGATACTGGCAGGAGCCCATCGCGTTGCTGGCTTCACATGCCTCTTCGGCGAGGTAGCCAACGTTGCAAGAAAGCGAACAGCAGCGATGCATGTCCTTAGCCCACGAGTCGCACCAATGTGTCGAGCCTGCGCAGTGATAGGCTGGGCCCCAACCAAACGATGCCTTGAGGCACGCATCGTTGTCGAACGCTCTGGACGCGATTGTGCAGTCCGACCCCTCGTGCGGGTATTCGCAAGTGCCGTTATAACCCTTCACGATGGCGTCTACCGCGTCACAAGACTCTTCGGTGAGGTAGCTGACGTTGCAAGAAAGCGAACAGCAGCGATGCATGTCCTTTTGGACGCACAGAGACATACTAATACTATATGTTTTCCTTGGAGGCGCGCGTCCGACCCGAACAAATAGTATACCCATCTTGTAGTAGATCGTTTCCCGAGATATGTGGCCAGAAAGCGCCCGCCACGACGCACACATTGTATTAGTATGTTGGGGTGGCGCCGATCCTTGGCCCACGAGTCGCACCACCTAGTCGAGGATGCGCAGTCATGGTGTGAGCCCCACTTTGGCGTGGCCTGGAGGCACGCGTCGTTGTCGAATGGAACGCAGCCGTCTGCCGTGCACGTGTCTGGTGGCGGGGGCGGGGGCTCGAGGGGAGGGCCCCAATCGACGTCGCTGCCAATCGCAACGCCGGGCATGACCACGTCGCAAAGGCCGAGGGGAGCGATTTTCATCTTGCCCCCCTCGCCCCACTCGCCGCCCCACGAATTGTGCAGCACGAAGTGGAACGGCCGCCCCTCATAGAGGGGGCCCTCGGCACCCCAGCCCGAGATCACGGTCTCGTGGTTGCAATCGGCCCATCGGCAGGGCACGTCGTAGACCCCCGACCGGTAGGCCATGAAGACCGCGTCTCCGCCCGCCACTCCAGCGAGGCACATGCCCTGCTCCATGAGCGCCTGCTGCACCTCCAGCACCCAGCCCCATCCTGGGCCCGGGTACACCGTGATGACGGCGGGGGCATCGAGCTCGGGCAGCCGGATCGAGTCCTCGGGCATGGCCCTGTCGTACTCCGCGTTGGAGCACCGGGACGGGCAGCTCGCCTCCGCCGCCCCTGCCTCGAAGTGGTGCACGCCTGCTCCCGTCGCCCAATACGGCACGCAGCCGGACTGTCCTCCAGTCGGGACCCCGGTGCTCGCGAAGGGCTCCCAGGCCCAAGAACCGAGGCCTCCTCTGCAACCATCGAAGTCCCAGCCGTTATTTCTGGCGCACGAGGTGACGAAGCCGCGGCTGAACTGCGCAGCAACGGCCCCCCCCGTCGCGATGCACAACCGGGACTCGACGACGTGCACCCCAGCGAAAGCCCAGCAGCTCCCGCACAACCCCTGATTGTGCACCTGGGGGGTTTTGTGTACTTCAGGAACAACCGAACTGGGGTTTGAACCTGGATATACATCACAATACCAGGCATTCTTAATAGCAACTTCCACTCATCATAATATCAAAGAAGATCAGGGTGAGAAAGTACGGGTAGCTAGCATCGAACATCAAAGCACGATCGAGATCAGGTGTCAAAGACAGCATCCAACCACAACTCACAGCCGCAAGCCGCGAGTCCAAAGCCGCAAGCCCACCTCCGAAATTATAGCGCAAGCCAAAAGCAGGAACTACCGAACTGGAGATTGAACCTGGATAAACATCAGAATACCAGACATTCATGATAGCAGCTTCCATACATCATAATGATGCTTCATGGTCGCACATGATGGTTGTGCACCTTGTGATGTTGCTTGTGCACTTCAGGAACAACCGATGAGAGGGTTATGAGTCTGGATGCCCACGAACTAGAACCGCCCAGCAATTCCCACAACAGCATCAGAAAGATACGAGAATCAGGAAACTGTTACTGGGGGGCTATTGCAATTCAGGACCAACCGATCTGGGGTTATGGACCGGGATAATTATGCGTAAGAATTCGACGAGACTCCAGTACCCACGAATTCAGCATGGCAACGATAAGTTCAGGATGCTGTGGATCGACCTGTGGCCGTGGAGCCCAAAGAAACATAGGGTAGAGTTGACCCGAAGAAGCATGGAGCAAATTTTGACCCTGACTGAGCACCTTGTCGAAGACGCTGGCGCAGTGCGGCCAATTCTCGCTGGCGGAAAAACTCTCGGGCATCTGCGACAGCCTCCTGTGATGGGCCTGCTTTCCACCACCACCACCATAAGTTGGAGGGCGAGGGGGTCCTCCGCCTACTCATCCTCCTCCACCTCCTGCTCCTCTTCGTCTTCCTCCTCTCGTCCTCCACCTCCTTCCCCCCTCCAATTTATGGTGGTGGTGGTGGTGGAGAACAGGCCGATCATCCTGGCCACCTCCTCCTCGTCCATCGCCGGGGCCGGCGGAGGGAGGCTGCCATTGGACTCGTTCGGCGGGGGGACCCGGCCGAGCTGGCGAAGGTGGTCCGAGCGCGTCATGTTCTCCATCCACCCTGGGACGGAAACGAAGAAGTGGGCGTCCTCCGCGCTGTTCACCGCCTCCTCAAGCGCCTTCGTCGCCATGGGCTTCTCCATCTCCAGCGCCTCGCGCACGACGCTCTCCCAGGCGGCGACGAGCTCCTCGCCCTCCTTGCCCTTCGACAGCACGGAGGCCCCGTGCAGGAAGTGCATGTGAAACGACTCTCGCTCGACCTCGTTGAGCTCCCCCGCCATACCCGCCGCCATCAACGCGTCGAATGCGGCGTTGGCGTTCTCCTCCACCGAGGCCCCGGGATCGAACGGGGGCACGTCCACCTCGCGCAGGTCCCGCGAAATCCACAGCCGGCGCACGTCCTCGAGCTTGGGGCAGCCCCCCGGCGGGTGCACGCCCGTACGCCTGCACAGCTCGAGCTGCAGCTCGCGCCGCAGCGTCGGGCGCCCGAAGACCACACAAGCCTCGGGGCGTGCGAGAATGGCGCGGGAATCGGCTTCCGGAACGGAAGGTCGGAATACTCCTGAGGCCCGTGTTCCGTACTTTTATTTAGTGCTCGAGCTTCTCGTGTGCGGTTTCCATATCGAGCTGTTCGTTTGATTCGGCGGGTGATCCAGCCCCCGACGCGAGCCCCGGAGGAGAAGAGAGCTACTCGTTTCCATATTATTTTGTCTATTGAAGTTGGTTTGACGATCATCTTATTTCATTCACTCTCGCGAGTAACCCCGACGACATCAACACGATATTGGTAGTGCGGAGCTTGTTTTTAGTGAACCTGACGAGTGACAGCGTCATCGAGCACGGGCCAGAATGTAGATACCCAGAAGATTCCTACGTGGGACGGCAGGGCGGAGACACTAGACGAGTACCAAGCCGAGGTGAAGCTTCTCACGCTGGCGACGACGGAAGAGGACAGGAAGCTGCTCGGCCCACGTTTGGTGCAGGCACTGCCGAAGAACACCGCGCACAGGAAACCGGCCCTGCGATTGCCGCGGATAGAGGACGAGGCAGATTCGATCGTTGGCGAGAGCGGCCCGGAAAACCCGATCAGGGTCTTCCAGAAGAACCTGGGGAAGCAAGCATCCTACAACTGTGACGTCGTGGACAAGGTCTTGTCGTGTACAAGGTCTTGGACACGTCTTGCGAGGACACGTCTTGTACAAGGTCTTGTCGTGTACAAGGTCGTGCCGAGGAGCCTGCGACGTCGTGGACAAGGTCATGTCCTACTACTGTGACCGAAGACGGCGGGACCACGGGTGCGGAAGCCAGGGCAGACGATCGGCCTCTGCGCGAAGGCGGAGGAGGACGCCCACCGAGAGATGGAGAAGAGTGTTCGGGCGATCTGACCAGATCTGGACGCACTGGACGTGAGAGGGCCACAGTTGTGGCAGGCCTACACGACTGGAAAATCGAGTCAGAAATCGAGAAGCTGAAGTACGTGTGGGCAGACAAAGACCTGACGGCGAGGGACAACCTGGTATCACGCCGGAGAAAGCTACGATTCCAAGGAGGTCGAGAAGTCCGCAGGGAGAGGTCCAAGGTGAACTACTAGGAGGACGACATCGATGAGGAGCCGAACTACTTCGAGGAGGAAGCAGACGAAGTGGGAGAGGCAGAAGCCTACTACGAGGAGGAGCTCGACAAGGAGGACATCGAGGCGCTGGAGGCCTACGCCGAGGACGCGGAGGTGTACGCGCAGGACGCCCACAGGACGTTCACGGAGGCGAAGAAGTTGCTGGCGAAGGCTGCGATGAACCGGAGCGGCTACTTCCCGGTGATAGGGATCGGACAGATTCCGGAGAAGTACTTCAAGGACCAGAAGATTGTGAACACGGCGAAGGCGGCGCTCAGGGCTCCGAGACCATCTGGACCACCAGGAGGAGACCGAAGGGCTCCACATCCACCACCGCCACAACCTCAAGGCCAGAGGCGACCCCCCAAGGGCAAGGGCAACGGCATCAAGTGCTTGATCTGCCAGGGACCCCATCGAGCAGTGGACTGTCCAAGACGGAGCAAGACAGGCAGCGAGGGCAACAAAATGCAGATGGCATGCCAGGGCTTCGTGGATGCCGAGGACGCGGACGAGTCCAACTACAGCAACGAGGGGAACATGCCAGAGGACGGTCAGGCTGGATGGGTACACGAGGAGATGGTGGGATACGCGATCATCGACACAGGAGCCTCGAAGAGCATGATCGGGATCGGCCTTGCAGCCGCCATCCAGGACACCATCATCCAGGAGACGGGTGAGGACCAGATCGCCATGGACTATAAAAAAAGAGAAAACCCACCCCCACCCCCAGTCCCGACGCCCACCCCCGAGCCTGCGATTCAAGGGGTCGGGACTGGGGGGGGGGGTACTCCATTCCTGGACCCCGAAAAACCACCCCCACCCCGGGTCCCGACACCCTGGATCGCGGGTTCGGAAATGGGGTCGGGACTCGGGGTGGGGGTGGGTTTTCGCCTTCTCAGACTACACGAAGAAGACTAAGTTCACGTATGCGGGAGGCGAGAAGGGCCAGTCCATCGGGAAGTTCGGGTTCGAGCATCCTGTGGCCCTGGTGGAAGACGACAACAAGCTGTGGCTCGACCTCGTGGGAACGAAATCCCAGATGCTGCTGGGCCTTGACTGCCTGGAAAAGGCGGGAGCCGACCTGATCGAGGAGAGGTCTGCACTCGTCCTCGCAGACGGGCACGAGGAGCCAGTGGTGAGGCTCTCGAGCTCGCAATATGCGCTCCCCGTACTTTGACGGGGCCCAGCCGTGGGCAGCGACGACGCCTGCGGAATGGAAGAGAGAAAGAGTTGCCAGTCAGCCCCAGAAGAACCCAAAAAGATCCAGGAGCTCATCTCAGAAATCCAGGAGTCAGGAGATCACAAAGGCCACGCTCATGAACTCAAAAACTACTGCTGTTCTCAAGAAGTGTTCATACGAAGGGAAATCGAAACGTGCACGACAAGCTCGAAACCGAGTACGATGCGAACGGAGACGAGCATGTCATGAACACCATCACCCGCATGTGCTAGATAGGGCATGTCATAAACACCAGCATCCCCATGGACAAGATAGAGCATGTCATGAACATAAGCATCCCAATGATCTAGACAGAATACGTCATGTTCAACGTCAGCGGTGTGAAGCGGGATGTGGATACGGTCTGGGGATTCCTAAATCAGTCTCTGTCGGCACGGAGTTCTCGGGCATATTTGCTGTGGGATCTGAAGAACTCGAACGCCAACATCCGACAGCCTACGCCTCCAGAGCCGTTTGTGTCAAGAAGGCGCTCCGACTGGAGCTTTCACTATGATCGGGTCGGGCGAAAGGGGGGGGGAGCAAAGGGGGGGGGTGAGAATCAGCTCACGCAGCTGATCTTCCCGGCGCCTCCCAGCGCCAGAGGCGGCCATGTATCGAGGAGTGGGCCCCTCGGTGAGGCCGAAACCAGCTGCATGCAGCAAATTTCGTACCCCCCCCTCTCCCGATCCCCCTCTTCCGTCTGGCCCGATATGCGCAGCCCGCACAGGGGGCAGTGGCAGCCAGCGGCAGCTCACGAGATCTCGGACGAGGACTTCGAGGCCCGGCGAGGAGGCCCCACACGCCTCTCGGGGCCGCCCTCGCGGCCAGCTGCGGCGCCTGCAGCTGTGGACCTGGACCCGGAGGCGTTCTTCGATGGCCCGGGGAGCCGGACCACGGAGCCGCATGCCAGGACCGGCCCGGACACCATCGAGGAGAGCAGATAGAGGGCCACATGCGAACCCTGCCCCTGCCCCCCACGATGTTCTGAGGGGGCGGGTGGGGTTCACTTCGTGCGGGAGCTCCCGAGCGAAGTGACCCCCCCCCCCTCAGAAATCGTGGAGGGGTGGGGTGGGGTTCGCATGTGGCCCCCCAGCAGAGGAAGGCAGCACACGTCAGCCGGGCTCGCGACGGCACCCGGGGCGGAGCCAGAGCGGCAACGTGGCACGGCCTGCTCGCCGAGGCGGAGGGCGCCTTGGTCAAGGACAAGGGGCAGAGCAGCCAGATGGGCGCGGAGGTCGCCCCCAGTGGCGCGTACCAAGCAGAGGACTACCATGCAGGACAACACGAAGGAGGACCGACCGACGACTGCGGAGCTACCATCCTCGAAGGGACCGACCCATAACATCAGGAAGACCACAGCCTACGACAAGAAGCTCCCCATCCACGAGACGGTGAACCTCGAGTACCAGGACAAGCAGAACATCATTACTCTCAAGAAGGTCAGCAACGCCGAGGTCACTACCAACAAGCCCAGGAAGGACCCGGAGAAGCATCACGCAGGCTCTACGGGGTTCAATCGATGGCAGAGACTGGGGATATCCAGGTCAAGCGTCGTTGGCATGAACACGGGCAAATCATGAAATACAGCAAGAACGGGTGCCCGAAGAAGTTCAGCCCGCCGACCGGGTTCGGGAGGCACCTGGGCCACTGGGCCTGGCGGGAGATAAGCTACGAGTGGTAGGACAACTTCCCCAACGTGTACGACATCGAGCACTCCAGGCTGCAGAGATAATCGATAAGACAGGGACAAAAGGAGCTCGCCATGCTGACGAGAAGGGACCAGACGGATCGATTGAAGTTTGTGTACCACCAGACAGTACACTGGGAAGTCAGGTGGAGACCATGGGAGGCAAGGTCAGCCGCATGGGTCTCTTCAACTTGTTAGACGTCAGGAAGAGGACAGCGGTGGAGAAAGCCAAGGAGCGCATCAGACAAGAACGACCTCGATGGGCACACGCATCTCCACCATGTGCACCGTTCTCAGCGCTGCAGAACGGAAGACCTAACAGAATAGAGTCCCAGGAGAAGCTGATGCAGATGAGGAAGTGGGGACGCAGAGTGATGAGGAATGTGCTGGAGGTATTGCTGTACGCATAGAAGCACTTCGGCACAGAGATCTCCATCGAGCACCCACTCACAGCAAGTTCTTGGAGGAGCATACCTGTGCTGTTCGACATCTGGGAGCAGGTCTACGAGACCATCAGCTACAGCTGCGGCTGGGGAATGAAGAGCAAGGTGACTCAAGAGATCATCAAGAAGGGCTGGCGCATCGTCACGACGAATCAGCTGCTGGCGGACCGTCATGGGAGGAGGTGCACGAGGGACCATGTGCACACCATTATCGAGACGGGCCAGGTGAACGTTGGCGAGACCGCCAGGTACCCCCTAGCCATGTGACGGAAGTGGGCTGCCACCATCATGGAAGAGGACCCCGTCAACTTTCTAGAGATCCAGAAGATCTTCGCACAGGAGAACACGACTGAGGTAAAGGACATGGAGTCGGACACAGAGGAGCTGAACAAGGTGGCTCCCAAGGTGATCGAGGCTGTCCAGAAAGAGATCATGAACATCCACACCAACATGAACCACATGGGCATGAACGCGATGAAAACGTACCTGACCCGCTAAGGCGCGCAGCCGTGGGTGATCCCCCTCGCCGGAAAGATCAAGTG